TTGATTAGATTTATATTAACAAACAAATGTTTATTATCAGCATTATTTATTTTTAAATATTCTGACAGGAAAATCCATGGTAGAGATTGAAACCCATATAATCCATATTGGAAATGTATTTTTTTTTTCTCTTTCAACACATTTAGACTGAACACATCAGAAGTTTCTGAGAGCCTGATGAGTTTCCAACACAATTTCTTATGCCAGTGTTTTGGCTTTATTGGGATTTCACATGCTTCTTTCAGTTCTGACAAAATGCTGAATCTTAGTAGGGCTTTATTTATTTTAGAAATGCCATTCTGTTAATTGTTGCACTTAGCATTTCTGCTTTTTTTTTTCTTCTCTGGGCTCATTAAGAGTTTTTTCGTGCACTGTGAGCAGTATTGCCCTTCCAACAAGACTCTTGCAAGAAGGATCCCCCTTAAAAAAAAAAAAAAAAAAGACATTACAGTTATACTTCAGGCATGTCTCCTTTGCTGTCTTGTTTCATCGTTTGAAGGTTTTATTAATCTCTTTAGGACATTCCGTACAAAATCCCTGAACTGTATGAAACCACAGGAGTCTTAATAAAAACAAGATTTATTAGGAAAGGAGGCAGAACACTGGAGCAATGGACTGTGTAACAGGTCTAATCTGAAATGTTGGTAAAGCTTGTCTTTGTTGGTCCCCTTCATGCCATTAAAAGAAAGTAAACTATCCTGCATTCCTCAGAAGCTCATCCTCTGATTGAACTTGCCCAGCTCCCCTCAGGCTGACACTGGCAACTAGGAAATCAGGGGCAGTTTCTGGGATCACATGTGCTATTCTGAGGGTGCTTTTGCTGTGCACTTAGAGCCATGTTTGCTCTTCCTTCTCGTCTGTACAAGCGTTACCCAGCCCTGCTCCAGCCCCTGCGGTAGGCCTGCCTGCTGCAGACTTCTGAAAACATGGCACAGGCATTGAGTCTTGTCCGAAGTATTACTTGCTGCTTGGCACTGAACTGCATAATTCTTGATTTTCCATATAGCTTTAAATTCTTTTGAATGCATTATAAAAATGTTGCTCCTCATCCTTGTTCCATATCTTATTTTCATAAAAGCAGATCACAGCTAAAGTCTGCCTACCCCTTCTCCTAAATTATTGACCGTGACTTTACATAGTAAATTGTGCTGGATACAAATGTTTGCTTGAACATAATTCATGGCAGAGTTTTTATGAAGAGACAGAACCTAGATGTAATTTTCTCAGTCAGTAAACAACTGATGTTAATGTTGGTATTTCTCAGCTTCTGAATGTTTAGTTGGGATAAGATGGTGTTCTTTTCAATGGTTAGTCCATTTAAATGATTTTCTTATTTTAAAAAAGCAACAAGACTTGCACTGAAAATTAAATGACGTCCTGCAAAATCCTATTGACCCTCCTTTTCTCAGAAGCCTTCCCCTAGGGTGTCTTGCAAGCATCTGAAACCAGAGGACCAGCATCCTCCTCAGGCACAACTGCTACGTGCCATCAGCCATGGAAGGTGGATGGCACATTTGCCATTTCCTAAGCAGCTGGGACAGCTGCTCAGGACAGTGAATTATGTGCAGGGACAGCAGATGCACTTGTGGATCAATGGTGAGGGTTAGGAAGAGGGAGAACATACTCTGTGGAAACCTGAGCTCTACTGAACTTAGGTTAACCAAGGAGTTTTCAAATTTGGGCATTTTTTTAATATACATAGCAAAGAGGAAATACTAGAGACATAATTACTTTGATTTTAGATCTTCTTAATGGACTGTTTGGGGAAAAAATAAGTTAAGCATGGGCAGATTTTTTTTAACCTTGTTCTATTGAAAAGTATCTATGAATAAAAATAATAATAAATAAATAAATAAGCAAGCCTTGAGCAGATACTTGGGGTGGACGGTGTACTGAAGAATTCATTTAGCAAAAGTATAAATGTCTGAAAACAGAAGATAACCAACTAAGTATTTGTAACGATAAAGCTGTCTACAGATTAAATAAATTAATCTTATCAGTGCTTGAAGAATTGTCCAATAAGCCTCAGTTAAAATGGTTGTGGTTGTAGTTAAAACTGGTAAGGCTGGATCATTGCCTTCTTTAATGGCTTTACTAGAGCACAGTTTTCTCCTGCTTTCTCTGTATTGTAAGGTCATTAATGAATCATTAGCTATTGCTAGTAATTACTGATGTCTTGAGAATATTGGTTTAATTGAATGAGAATTATAAGTAGAAGATACAGTTACATATTCTGCAGTGTAGGTGGTGGTACCTTTCTGTATTGTGGCTTTAAAGAATCTGTGTTTTTTGAGGAATTTAAGGATGCCTGGTAAATTATGAATCATTATACTATTGCATGTTACTAAAGGTACACTATTGTGAGCTTCACAGTCTGCAGGTGTAATGGATGTAAGGCAAGATTAACAGGACAGAACAATAATTAAACCACAGACAGCCATTCCCCCCCCCCAAAAAAAAAAAAAAAAAAAAAAAAAAAAGGTTTATCATGTCCTATGCAATTATTAAGTGTGTCTGAAATTCTCTGCAAATATTTGTAAAAGCAATAAAAATGTGTTAGTTTGAAAGACAGCTTTCCAGCACGGACACTTATTCTGAGGAATTAGGAACCCTTATTGTGAATATAAAAGCTGACTCAAGTCCTGTCTTATGGCAGCATGGTTCACGTAGGCAATGGTCATTGGTTTATAGATGCTATGAGCTAAATGCTGCTAAAGGAAATAACAGAACGGCTAGTATATATGCATTTAGAGCAGTATGAGTTGCTTACTCCCTTTAGGACAGGAGAATTGAAATAATTAACAGTAATATTACGGTTGCAAAAGGAAGTCCAGTTGTTCTTCAGCAGCCTACATCTGTGAAACACGATACCTCTGGGGACTGAGATTTAATTTTCCCAGGAGAAAGTATAAAAGCAGGAGAAAAAAAGGAATGACTTCTGCTAGAGCAGAATAAACCTGCATCTACAAACGATTAACACTGCATAATGAAGTAGTAAAGAAGCAAAAGAGATTTCTAATAAAAGACTAATAACAAATCCCATTACACCGTGGTGTATTTTTCCCTTGAAGTGTATTAGACTTTTAGCAAGGCTTCTTTCTGCATGAGATTTGGGTACTTGCAGGCAAAGTCAGCTCAAATGCTTCAAGCTTAGCTGCAATTTCTTTCCTAACAGTTTGTATAACATGAAAGTTGAGGTTTTACAGGTGGGAGGGGTTGTTAATGCAAGTAATAGGCTTCACGCAGAGTTTGGGTAATGTTTGTGTCACCATAGGATAATGGTCTCCCGTAGGCAAGGCACTGTAGGGTAATGTGCTGCTGTATGGTAAAATCCCTTGGCTAGAACAGACGTGGTATTAAATGTACTAGATAAGTCCTGCTTCTTTGTTAGCAGTTCTTCTGACTTTTCTTTCTGAGGCCTGAAAATGAGCCCTCGTAGGATGGGGGGGTTGAACAGAGTTTGAGTTTTATCATAGCTAATATTGCAACCTTTATAATTACTATGCTAAAATAAAAAGTTACAAGACTACAGAACAGAAATGTTTGGTGTAAGCAAAATAAGGATTAGATAAGACTGTATTTTCACTTCTAAAAGGGAATGTGCCTTGCAGGGCATAATATTCTGTACAGTGATCTCTAAATCTGAAGCATGGACATTTTTATGGGTTATAAACACAATTACAATATCGGGAGGTACAAAAGTTTGAATGAACAAACCCTTGATTAACAAAACAGTCCCTTTCAATTTTGTTCGTAAGGGAGAGTCGCTTTGTACAGATTGTTGCTATCTTAAAAGCTTGTAATTGACCGACGTGTTGGAATTCATTTGTGCAGAAATGAACTTTTATTACTGGAATCGGGGAAAAAAAAAACAGATGCTTAAAACAACGAGTTTTGGTACAAAAGTGGTTAAACGTGAATTCTTACAAGTGAAACTAATCTTGATGAAATTTCTAGTTGCCTTTTTAGAAAATTTTGTGAGTTTTACAGAATGACTCAATTTGCTTTGCAGAAATTTGCAATCAATCTTTTCTTGCCACTGAATAAACAGATTCCACATGCGTAGCAATTTGCATATCCCAGCTAAAAATGTAATTCATTATTTTTAAGTCCATTTTGTAATAACTATTCCAGGACTAATGTTACTAACTCTTCTGTAGCTTTTTCAAAGATAACTTTAGATAATTCCTGCTGCCTAGAAAGGTACCAAGCTAATGGTTCTGGCTTGGAATAGGAAAGGGAAGTGCCTGTCTCAAGGTCAGTGTAAGAGCTGGAACTGGAAATAAGAAAGCTTGAGAAATTATTTTTTCCTACTGCATCTCAAGCTTCCAGTCTCAAGCAAATTTTTCATTTAATAAGATAGATTTTCATGTTTTGCTGGGTATGAAACAGAAAAGATATGAACAGGGATTAATCACTAAATCTGGTAAAGATTTAAATCAGGTTTAATCAAAATAGCATCCATAGCATGTTTTACATGGAGCTGGAAACACTGTTGTCAAAAACAGGGAGGAAGCCTGTTCAGAGCAAGTGTGACCCGATTCATTTTAACTGCTATTTGGCATCTGCCTTGAACTGGCTTTCACTTGACTGGGCTTTTCAGGGCTCTCATAAACCTCTGGTTTCACCCTGCTTTTCTGTTCCAGGCTGTTCTTGTGTAACATCGTCTCACTTTCATCTTTGATCAGTATCACATCAAATGCTTAAAAATATGGTGTATAGAATTGATATGTTCTTTCTTTTGAGGTTCACCCACATAACAGTATTAGTCAGTTAAGCTTCTGCAGTTGGTACAGTATTGCTTCCCTTAATGTAGACACAAACATTTCCAAAAACACAATTATGTGAGTGATTCTCATAAACCTTCATAATTTGCAAAATTTCCTGCTGAAATGCTTTGGGTTGTAGTTGATCCTGTGATACGTATACTGGCTTTACAATATTCGTCAAAACAGATAAATACAGCATGTCTTTTCTGTTCTGTTTTGTGTTTTTTTCAGGCGATGGGTAAGGCTCCTCTTTGGACGTGAATTCCCACTCCAGGACCTTCTTGTTGTGTGGGATGCTCTATTTGCTGACAGTATCACCCTGAATTTAGTTGACTACATTTTTGTAGCCATGTTGTTATATATTAGAGATGCCTGTAAGTATCAACTATCTTACGATCTTTTAAGAAGAATGCAAACCTATTTTTCAAAGAAACAGAGGGCTTAAGAAATGCTAAATTTCATTCTGACTTTTTTAACAACTGAAAATCCTTTCAAATGCTATGAGAGGAGCCATTTGTTATCGGGCACAGTCTGCTGTATTTATGAAACAAATTGTATCTCGGAGTTAAATGCACGTTTGTTTTCTGAGTAGTTCTGTGTTTTTATATGGAGTTGCAGATTTTCTATGCAGCCAGTGATTCAGGTATGTATAGAGCTCCACCTTCTGACAAAGCCGATGAATTGAGTAAATCCTCATACTGGAAATACATTTTTTGCTCTTCTGCTTTGAAAAATGTGAAAATGCACAAGACAGTGACTCATAGATTTCCAAGTTATGTCGTGAAGGAAATGTACATGCAGAGATGAGTAGCAATTACAAAATACATTTATTCCATGCAAGAGCGGTATCTTTAGAAAACTGATCACTTAATTTTATTTTCTTTCAGTATACCTGAAATAGGTGCAGAGATATTTGCACATATGGACTAGTGATAAGCAATAAATAAATGAATTTGGTAAAAGAGACAAACTAAAAAATGTTGCTAGTTTGTATAATTATGAATGGGAAGAAGAAAATATGTAATAATTAATTAAAAGGCATTTATTTCTGTCCTATCATATTTTGCAAAAAATTCCATATATGAGTTTGCCACAACAAAATATGTGTTTTTCAATAAGATGCATGTTTGACATTAAATATATGAATTCTTTAGCATGCTGTTGGGTGTTAATTATATACAATCTGTAAGTTTTAGCTTGTAACAAGGTCACATATTTGACACAATTTTGTATTCTAGGACACATAAAGTTTTCAACTTCTGTTGTTCTTATTTTAGGGCCCAATCTTGAAAATATAACACGCATGTACTTTACACATACTGTTGTTTCACTGCCTGCCATAGGACTTCATGTGGGTTTTTTTAGTCGCTTTTTAATAAACATGCAGCATATAGAGCTGCCTTACATTCCTCTCAAAGAGGTGGACATTTAATTCAGTGTAGAGGTTTCAAAATCAGTGCTTGTTTCAGGATTATCCAATTTCAAGTCATTTTCTGTAATCTGAATCTGGTTTGTTTATGTGCAGTAAACTGAAATAATCTTTAAAATGTTTGTATAGATGCATGGTGCAGATGCATGTGAAATTGTTTCTTAACATCAGCATTGTATTTTGTGCCATCATTTGCCTTTAAAAATGATAATTAAGAAATGTGTCTATAAGCACCCTCTTTTCTGGGAAAGGAAGGTTGCTTTGAGGTTGTTTGTTTCACTTTGTGGTGCTCTCACGTGAGTATCGGTATGAGGTAACTAAAATGTGAGCTAAAAATGTGTTATGGGGATCTGTATGAAATCAATCTCCCTTTTTTTCTTTGAAATCCCCAGATCTTGTAAAATAAAGCAGTAAATAGCTTTAAAGTGGAGTACATTTGCTCGAATAAGATGCAAAGTCATCTCATCAGGACAGCTAATACTTCGTACATTCACTTTTTCTGAAATAAGTATATTTTTCTTCTGTAGTTGGATCTAATTATTTACTCTAAGCTTAGTAGTACAGTGAAAAAAAAATACCCAATCATAAATACGATAATATTGTATATATTGTAAACATCAAGCTTAGAAACCTTCACAGTTTTTGATATGATAAAAGAAAGCTTTCCATATATATATATGTAATAGAAAAGTTTTCCTTTTTCCCTCCTATTTATATTGTTGTTAATATTTGAGCTTGAATAGATGTTGTAACATTTTAAAAACCATTTTCAAATAAGTTTTTAAAAACTAGTCTTTCTTTGGTGAAAGGAAATGTTATTTTAAAAAAAACAATGATGTTAATCATCTATAAATATAACATCTGGAAACTTTCAGTTTTAAGACTTTGAAACAATAGGAATAATAATAGAACTCCTAATATGTTATAAAAATATCAAGCATAATCAGTGATAATAATATAATACTGAAAGCATTTGAAAGTTTAAAAATGATGCAGATTCTTTTATAACAACACATTTGGGGATGGAGAAGGAGTTGCTGTTTTGGGAACTGCTAAATCTTTTTCTGTTTTGTTATGTTCTCAAGGACATGATTTTAAGAAAGCAGCATTTCTACTATGTTTTTAGTTTTATTTTTATTTTGAAATTCTTTGTTACTCAAACTATGTATTACTAAAGGAGAGGGTAACATTTAGAATTTTAGATTACTGTGTATACACAAACACATAGTTGAAATGACCTGAACATTTTAGAGATTACAGATACATAATCATGTATACAGCCATTCTGTAAACTGCTCTGTTCAGTTTAACAACTGAATATGCAGAGCTTTATCCGTGCAGTGCTAATCCTCACAAAGCAGGTGTAGGGTTGTGTACTGAAGTGTCTTTGAGTTTTAATAAATGATTTTCTGGAATACTTTTGGGGGAAAAAAATAACCACATGAAAAAAAAAAAAATTGTTTAAAAAATCTGCCAAATCTGAAGCATGATTATGTTACTTCTCTTTCACTAATATGAATGTATAGACAGCTGTTGGTGAAATCAGAATGGAAGGGAGAGTTCAGTGCAAAAAAAATTGTTTTTATTTTATATACTTTCCTTCCCATGAAGAAGGACAAAAATGAACATACCTGGAAGACCTGTCCATGTTCTGCATAGTAAACTAATGATGTTATTACACCAGGATCTAATTTTCACTGATCAGTATTTGAATAACAATATTTTTACTATGTCCCTAGCTCTATGGACATTATTAGCATATATTTTTCTTATCTAAAGGCACTCTGAATATTTTAAGAGAAATAAAGAAACCACAGCCTCTTCTTGGAGGAGTTGATTTGTTATTTTTGTTATCATGCAAGATGTTCATACAATCTATGTTTAATTCAATTTAGGGGTACTAAATAGAACATAGCAATGCGTAAAGCAGCAGGGGGAAGTAGTCCCACTATATCTAGGTTAGGAAGTCATCTCTATACAGGATTGGCAGCCTCAAACATGAAACTCAGAAGAAATGGCAGGTGGCAGGAAATTAGGACTTGATTGAAGACAGGTACAGTTAGTTTTCATGTTTTCAACCTTTTTTACTACCGCTTGCATCCAGGAATGGTTATTGGTCCAACAGAGAAAAGTCTATCTCATCTAAAGCAGAGGAGAGAAAGCAATTTGTTGTTCCTCTGCATAATCTGTTATTACTGCATAACAAGTATTTAAAGGCAGTATGATTGCTTTCCCTATCAGAGGAGTTTTTCTACGGCTTTCCCAAGAAATACTGATCACATTCCTTTGGCAAAGCAATAACTTGTTATTCACGCTAAGAGTAGGATCCAGATGTGACTCTTGCCAAGCTAATGAGTGAAGGAGGAGCACAGATAGGCAAGCACCAAGCCTATTACAAGGCAGCTGGCCACAGTATTTCACCCTTGAACTTCAATACCTTCCAGCTACTGCTGAGACGATAGAAATTGGTATTGCACAGATTCTCCTACAAGAAATTTCATCCTAGAATTGATTCTTAGAAATCCCTTTAATTCAAATCTGAATATTCAGAAAAGGAGGGTTTGTTTTGTTTTGCTGATGTTTTCTGCATCATTTTTAAGAAAACTGCCAGGCTGTTGTATAATAACATACATTTGGCCATGCATTTGGCCCTCTTGAAAAAAAGAAAGATACCAAGAGGTGTTTCAGCAGATTAATCCCTTTAACCCAAAATTCTTCAGTAAATAGAGCACTAGCAATGATGTTCTTTTCTGTAACAATTTATATGTGAAAATGGGAGAGCTGAATGTATGGAGAAAACCATAAAGATAAAATAAATATAAAAGTTAGCAGACCTTCCTCATTTAAGTTTTGCTTTTGCTTTGTGTTTTTGTTTAATTTATCAGTGATGGGTTCACTATTAAATATAAATTCTAGGGAGCAGAAGTCATGGCCCAACAGTTTGATTTTTTTTTTCAATTGTTCAATTGCTTTTCTATTATACATTTCGAAAAAATTAATAATTAGAGTAAATGTCTCGTGGTTGAAAATACCAATTTTTGTCAGGGCTCAAGTCTGCACCATTAAAATCACTTAGATTTTTAATATTTACTTTTCTCTATATCAGTCAGACAGCAAATAACTGTTCCAGGAGACATAAAGAAAGAATGATTTTAATCAATTTTCCATTGCAAAATAGAACACATACTGGTGTGTTCCAAAGAGAAATGTGTTAGTCTTAATACTTATCATTTATAAAATTATGTAGAATTTACTGTCCATTTTCAGTATTTTTAGTTACTTTGGTAAAAAGGTCTCATAATCGTAACTGCAGTGCAGTATCTTAAATTTGATTTACACGTGAGACTTGGCTTGGTTATGTAATATGTGGTGCTGGTATTATGCTTCTCTGAAAGATCTCTGACTGAGACCATTGTGTTGTGTTCATTATGCCAGCTCTGTGACTACACGAAGAAAAAAACAGGTACCTGAATATGAACAAGAAAAACAAAGGATAGGAAAAGAACAGGCAGAACAGATAAAGAATGAGTAGGATAAGTGAGTGCTTTACAAATGAAAGCAGATGTATGAAATTACAAGCTGTCGGATCAGCAACGGAAATGAAGATGATAAAGTGGTTCCCTACACAGATTATAATTATTCATTTTGCCCAGTCCTGCATCTTTTCCCCATAATCCTCTTGTTGAGGGAGGAAAGGTACAGGAGGATATGAGGCTTATTCACATGAAGGAATAAAAAGTAAAACATTTAAATCTCTGTCCACAGAACAACCATTTATTTTGCCTTTTATTGATTCAAAATAATTCCATGTTTGCAAGGATTATTTCTAGTGTAGAAGCCTGATTAGAAGTATTTGTTGCTACAGCTAAAGTTCTCAGAATAGTAGTTTGTTAAAAATTTATTTACAATATTAGTGTTGGAGGCTGTCTTTATGTTGCACAGTGCAAGCATCAGCAACAGGCATTGCTTTGACAGCTGTGGCAGATGGATTGCCTGGATTTGGATGGTGCAAAAGAAATGATGTAGTTTACACAGACCTGCCTGAAAAGACATCTCTAATAATTGCACTCATAACGAGATTGATTTGGGAAAAAAAAAATAGATAACAACAGCAAGCAGAGAGCCACAGCATATTTACACAGGTTCAGATTAAATCAACTTCATAACATTTCCCAAATAAGTAACAAATCCTACTAAATTAATGGGGTATTCTACTTTTAAGTATTTCTGAAATGAAAATCTAACTTTTTCCTTTTGTACTTAGCACTTTGTAAAAAGTTTATTGATTTACCAGAAATCAAGGATTTGTTGACACCATTTGCATACAGATGTATGCATGTGTGTGTGCGCATGTATGTGCGTATGTACATAAGAATATGAAAAAAAGATATTTCAGCAAAGAATTTTCAGAGCGGGACAAAGTTGTCATAAAATTAGGACTGGAAGTAAAATTTACCATACAAATAACACCCTTAGAGTTAGGTGTCTGCAGATAAGTGAAAAAAAAACAGTGTCTGTTTTGGGTTCTGTATCTCCACTGACAGTACCGTTTCCACCTCCATTGGCTCTGGTAGAGTTTTGGTGCACAGCTCACATACAAACAGCTAAATTTAGACATCCAGATTTGGAGTTGAATCCTAATACAAATGTCTATGAAATAAGTTGAGTTCTGAGAGACTTCATGTGGGACTAGGCAACTGCATCTGAACTGTAATGAGATTACAGAAAATAACATAGTAATATTTCACTTTTTTTCATTTTCAATACAGTGATATCAAGTAATTATCAGACCTGTTTGGGACTTCTGATGCATTATCCACCTATTGGAGATGTTCACTCCCTTATCCTAAGAGCACTTTTCCTCCGAGATCCAAAGGTGAGAGGCTCACTTTGTAAACACAGGAAATAAATCTCTGTAATAGAATGTTGCAAATGCTATGATGTTAATTACAACCTACATTTTTTGGGCTAAACTCTGGTTTCAACTTCTTTGACAAGCTGAAGGGAAGAGTTGATAAACAAGAGTAGAATACAAGTTTTTTACTCTTAAAAGGGTGCTGTCCTACTAATTTGCTAAACTTCTCCAGGAGCTCAGCAAACTGCAGATGTTTATGCTCCTTTGTTTGGTATTCTGCACAGACATCTTTCATTATAAACTATACTTTTGAAACTAATATTTTATTTAATAAGCTAGTAAGCTGTGTAGAAACTGTCGTGCAATATCATCTGTACAATATTTTTCATTAGATTTCTGGAGATTAACCATTGTTAATCCTTATAGCACTACCTATGCCCAGTGTATAATAGATACATGATGATTTCCAATTAGAACTGAGAATCTGCTGTTACAGTTCGAAAAGATTCACAGGAATAAAATGTAAAAATATATAAATGTAATGTTTTTGATGCACACAACTATACTACAAAATAGTGAACTTCTTGATGATTTAGAATGGCATGTGTATACAAAGTGGATATAATGTACAATGGATATACACAATGTAGTGGAAAAAATGTTTAAGGCAAAGCTGTACCCAATAATCTTTCCAGTATTCAGATTTTTGGCAGATAGCAGAATTTGTGCTACCAGTTTTGAACTGTCTTTGAGCATGTCCCATTAGGAGGCTGCCAGTGTAAAGTCTGATTTCCCTCATCTCTTGAGGCAAGTCACCTTTGAAAGTGAAAAATTCATCACTTCTGCACTCTCACTGTCTTCTGCAAAATTTCATTCAATAACAATGTTTACACTTCTATGGATTAAGAAAAAAAAAATGTCTCTTTGTTTCTGTATCAGTTTTTTGCAGAAATCTGCTTTCTTTACAGCTGCTTTCTTTACAGCTGCTTTCTTCATTCCTCTTGGGCACAAAGATTTCTTTCATGATGAGAAGTAAAGTATATCATCTTTCCAGTGTGTAAGAGAGTTTGTAATGTTAGATCTGTAGAATTTTTCTTAAGATTCAGGCAGCAGAGTGTGAAATCAAGCTGCCCAGCATTTATTTATGTACTGTTTTAGCAAAACAAGACAGAACTGTTTTTTTGATGGAAGATACAGAGGGAGGGAAACTGTGCTGCGATATCAAACTAAATCCAATATGTAATCTGTTGTTTAGGAAAGGGGTATGTTAAAAGAAAAAGTAATTACTAATCAGCTGTCTTCCAAAGCATCCTAGATAGTATACAAGTCATGCTACCAGCAGAAGGGGGCAAAAATAAGTCATCAACTTCTCATGAAAGAAGCTTGATCACTGTTCCGCTCCTCACTCTCTTGTGTTAAAGTGAAGTCAGGCTCATAAGGCCTTGGTGTTCTATTAGCTCAGACTCTCAGGTGTGCCTTGAACACCTTTCAGGAAAACAGTGGATGTGTATCTTACCATATCTTTCAGGTAGTTCTCCCTTCAGTCAGCTGAATGAGTACTTAAAGGTCTTTCATTCAGAAACTGCTAGTTGTTCTGGCAATTTAAATATGATTAATTATGATTGCTCCTCATTTCTGAGCTGTACTTATCTGTTTGGGAAATACTCTAAAGGTTAGAAAACTAGGATTTCTAGAGAATAAAGAGCTCCAAGGGACTTCTAGCTCCTCTTGTTTTACGTTGCGTCTTTAGGTTGAGACTACATTAACAAGTCTGGACTTCCTTCAGCAAGGAAGTTAAACTTCTCTAAAGTATCTCTCTGAAAGAAAAAAAATACCTTCTGGTCAGAGAAAGAAGTATATCTTCAGTGCTGTGACTTAAGTACCTGTTTTTTTTATCTTTCCCTTGATGTAATTTAAAGTTTCACTTACGTGTCTTCAAGCATATGTTGGTTCAACCCAATGTATTTCTGAAATGGGAGTCTGCCTACTGTGGCTTGTTATTCTGTGTGGTGTAAGACCTACATATAAAAATTTTCCAAGTCTGTCAAAATTTTGCAGTACAGAGAATGAAAGGTAAGACTCAACACGACATCATGGGTGCTCTAGGAGTCTAAAATCAGTACACAGATTATATGCGCCAGTGTAAGTGGGAAAATTAGAATGACTTTTTTTTTTTTTTTTGCTATCTGCATAAAGATAATTCAGTTTGCCTTTATTCCCTGAGCAGATAAAAGGAGATTGGAAGAAAAGACAAGGAGATTTTAGTCAGTAGTGCAACTTGTAAGTGATGATTAGCAAATTCAGTGCTTAATGATTTTTCTTCCTCCTTTGATGTTTTCCTGTGCATTTCTCCATCGCTAGCTTCTAGTTTCTAATGGGAAATTACATTTGGTTCAGTGCAATTTAGCTCTCTTGAGCCAGAGGTGAATTGTTCTGTATGGCATTTCTTCCAAGATTCCACTTGATTTTTAATGTGTGAAGTTGGACAACTCTTGTTCCTTTCTGTGGGAGACTGGTGCATGGTTCAGTGGGTTATTTCATTATTTGTTGAACACATCTAGTATGTTTACTGTCATTCCAAATATCTGGGAGAGGCTCGCTTTCTGCCCTTTGGAGCTCTTAATCTCAGCTGGAGAGGAATTGCAGAAATACTCAGTGATGACAAACAGGAATTGCCTCTTAAAGGTTTATTAGTATATGTTGTCTTCAGGATTATTTTTGCAGATAGGTAAATACCAAATAATGTCACTGAGGGAAGATGTAGGCATTTGGACTGAGAGGTTGGTGATATGAACATAAAACTGAAAGATTCTTGAGGAACAATTCTGTCATAAATTATGAAGTCATTAATGTGGACCTGATACAGCCTGCCCATCCATAACTTCTGATTCTGGAGATAAATCGGAGTTTGCTCTTCTTGTGTCATCCATTATTTCTTCTGTTTCCTTGCTCAGTCATAACAGATGTTTTCTCCTTACTTATTTGCCTTGTAGCCTATCAGGAAAGCTAAACTTCAGCTTGATGGACCTACTGTGTTGTGTTTTTTTTTTGCTGCATTTTACTGCAGACCTCATCAAAAGAGCTAAATATCAAAAGAAAGCTCTACCTAAGAGATGGGGGGAAGTTTTTTCTTACAGATGGACAAATACAATTTTTTGACCTTTTGTGGAATCAAGCTTTAGTAGAAGCTTTTGCATTAATAATAATAACAGTAATATGAAAAGTAATTTGTGCTTGACAACTCTCCTTTTGACTTAGAGGATCCTGGCTGGCAGTTGGGATGAGAGGACATTTTATATTCCACATCCCTGATATATTCCAGTGCAACTGAATAGAAATACAGAGCTCTGTAATAGCTGAAAAAAAGTAAATGCACCTGTCTCTGAAGGGGGGCCTGAGAGGTACTAATTTTATAGGCTTGAGTATGGATCAATGTAGAATAATGAATTTAAGCCTTTTCTGCATTTGGCTAGCTCCAGTTCTTATGAAAATGTAGAATGAAAACCTCAAATCAGTGTTGTTGTCTTTGCATAGGGTAATATTGTTAACCTGCTTAGCAGAGTATTTGTTTCACATTTCTTTGAACAGATAATTACCTCAATTATTTATATGAAAGTTACTTCTATGCACTTACAGTCCTTCCGGATATAAAAGTAGAGCTTCTTATGAAACAACAGGGTTTTGCAAGTATGTATATGTGAAATGAGAACATGAAGCAAGGTTTTTTCTGTATATCCAAAAGCATTTACAGAAGGTGTGTCTCTGTGTATTTAATATCCCACAAGTGGCCAATATCCTCCATTTTTTAAAAAAACATGGAGCACTGTTAATTTTCAAAGCGAAGTCTGCAAAATTAAAAAGTAGAGATACAGAGATAGGGCAGTTGAAAAATATAAAGTGATTAAAAAACATAGTTCTAACTAGAGTTGTTCAAATAAAAAAAAAATTAAAAAACCCAATTAGAAACAAAAGTCATAGAAAATGTGAACATATTGTGTTCCTTAAATAACCAGATGTTCTTTCCTTCCTGAAGGCAGCCAGGGCTAGGAATAAAAGGTTTAAAACTATTGTTTTAAGTTAACTGTGAATTTCGCAAATCTGTTTTCACCCTTTAGCAAATAAAATTCTAATACAGCAACATAAGCAAAGTAATTTTCATCTTTGGGTGTTCTTATTTCTATGTTGTTTTGTGCTGAAGTGTTAACCTTATCACAATGACTTATTACAAAACTAAAGCACTACATAGAATATTTCTGTATTTCTGTTTTATGTTACATACTAAGAACTTGACAATCATCCTTTGTCTGAAAGCTAACTGTAGTTATTCGTAATATTTTTGTAAAATACGTTAAGAGTTTAATTCTATGAACACACTGCTCATCATAAGCCATTGAGTTAAAGAAAGAAACAGAGAAAGTGGCTGTACTTGGTCAATAGAAATAGAAGTTACTCATGCTAATAATATTCTCATTACTGCTGCTGATGTTTTTTCGATGTTGTATTTTAAGATATTTGCTGACATTGAAAATGGTGGTATATATTCTGCAGAATGTTAAATTCTAATGAAATCTATGATGAAGCATACATGACATTTCAAGTAAGTCGTATTAGTTCATCATGACTGAAATTACAGGGACTGCCAGAAAACTTGAGCAAAAATATATGGTCATGATCACTCATGTAATGATTAGCTGTAGAAATTTGCATTCCAGCTTTTAACACTTTTCAAAATCTGAGCAATAAGTGACAAGGGGGAAGCATATTACTGAAATTTTGAACTGAACTCTTTGTACGTTTATTTTCGGATGAATTTTCTTCTTAAGTAGCTGCCACCGTCTCTGAGTTTTCTCCAAGCTAGTTTCATATGCCTGAAAGGCTGTTGAGTTTCACTTTCTTCTTCTTCAGATGGATCCTTTTCTCTACACTCATTAACTGAGGTGCTGCTGTAGAACTGCAACTGGCCTTTGAAAGCTGCCGTTATGTCAGTGTTGTTTGTTTCGCTGTTTGTGGCAGGAGAAAAG